ATGTTTTTGTTTGAGGACATCAAATACACGAAGTACATTTGGTTTGTGAAAGGGACTAGAGAGTGTTGAGGACTACGAGGAGGTCAGGAGAACGAGGTTGGGGATTGATTGAGATTAAAAAGCGGATTATATTATTAGGGTTTGTTTGAGATCTGTTTTCATATTTTGCGACGAGCTACATTTCTAGAAAAATACGAGTAAGAGCTCTAGCTGATTTTCATTCGCATAATTTTCCTTGTTTAGGTTGCATCTCCTTTATGAGAACAAAGGTAGGGAGTGTCAAGTGTGTAATTTTATTATGAAGTGTTTGTGAGGTTGATTTCAATAAACGTCGTCGACTCAAACTTCTAGCAATTTTATCTAATGGCACATACTTTTTACTGTAGATATTCTTGCCAGTACGTATGGATGAATAAACTTGGCCAAAAAGTAATTTGACAAAGCTAACTTAATTAGACTTTAATGTTGTGAAGACCTATATGCGTGTCAATCATGGTATAAATTGTATTTACCTCTAATGTCTTTAAATAATAACTAATTCAATAGCGTAGATAAAGAGTCAATCCTTTATTCGGTTAATTTTAAGGACAATAACATAACGTTGGTAATAACCTTCAACGACCTATCTCCTTGCTATATTCATCGCATAGCTTCGTACCACAACTGACCCGTGTGGTATTGGCCCCTTATTAGGTCTAGTACTATAGTCCTCCCTCTTATGTATCTTTACTTATTCCTAGTGAATATAAGAGGTATTGTCCATGCAAACTCTTTATAAGGTATGATTATCTTAATCATAAAGAAAACAAATTAAATTTTACAACCTTGATGTTTCACTTACAAACCTTAAGTTAGATTAGGTATCTAATTAGGGTCACAAATAATAATGTTTTTTTTCAATTGAAAAAATTAATTATTTTTTTTAATCTTTTTTTATACTTTTATTTTTTTATATACCTTATAATTACTTGTCTACTAGTACTCGAATTAATGTAAAATTCAAATTGTAAACTAAGTCAGTCAAAATATGACATTTAAATTTATGTGGCATAGGGGGTATAATATTATGGTCCTATGATATAAAAATAAATAACGCAAAAATTATATAATCTTCCTATGAGTTTCAATGCTTTACAGTAAGAAGTGGTTAGCAATTTGAAATTGTTTTTGCCAAAAGAAGCTATTGAATGTAGAAGGTATATGACATTAATGCAATGGAAAATTCCCCTTTTCCATACAAAAAAAAAAAAAAAAACCATCTTCAAACACTACGGAGTACAAAATTATCAGCTCAACATTTAATATAACTACTAACCAATAACCACTTCACGTACATGGAAATTTTTTATATTTTAATTTATAAAATATTTTCAAACATAATTACAAGTATAAAAATAGAGTAGTTTCCCCCACTATATATGATTAAGAATTATGGAAAGCTGAGTGGGCCTGGTGAGCCTAATTGAAGCAACTCTATTGGGCCCCACTACGTCGATGAGATCTTCGTCACAGTTTCATTGGTGGGCCCCAAATGGTGGGGAAAATTAAATACTCAAGAGAAAATAATTTATTTATTTTTTTTTTTATTTTTAAGAGAAGAGAATGAATTATGAATGAGTGGGGGAGGAAGAGTGAAGAGAATGAAAGGTAAGGGAGGACAACCTGGGCCTCTTCATAACCTTCACATTCCATGCTCTGTCTTTCTTTGACCCTTTGACTATTTTTTTTTTTTTTTTTTTTGTTAATTGCTTTCCTATTCCTCATTATAACGTTTCATCCACCACCTTTTTTCCATTTTGTTTCTTTCATTTTCTATCATTGTTATGACTAGTTTTTACTACCATCACATTGTTGTTGTTTGTTGTGTTGGATTGCCACTTACCTTTCGTTATTCGAGTTTGGGCCCGATTCTTGTGGAGTCGGGGTGAAATGGCCATATTCACAGTAAAGCAGTTTTACGATGAATCAGGTTTATACGTGAAATAAGTGTTGTGGCTCAAAGATATTTATGTCTGTTAAAAAAGAAGCAGATAACATGGTGTAAAATGTATGGAGTAATGTGATTATATTTTTGTTTTGACAACCAATTTTATTATAAAAATTAGGTTTATGTTATATTTTGACCAAATAAATTACTTTGTAATGGAGTATAGACATATAATATAGGTAGGTGAGTTTTTAAGGTTTTTATAAGTGTAATTTGGGACATTCTAACAAGACTAAAGGTCTAAAGGCTAATCCCATACGTTGATACATGTAAAATTGTTAGATGTAAACATGTAATGGACACGACACAAAGTTTTTGATATGAAATGGATCTTCCAACTTCAATTCAGGAAAAAGGAAAAACAAAAACAGCACTATAACAACAATAATTGGAAATAGTATTGCGTTATCTTCTTCCAAAATGATGGTGCAATAAAATTATTATTGGGAAACACACCTAAAAATGCCAAGGCAATCTTTCTATCAACAGGCAACCACCAATCAATAAGTGCATATTATTATTATTATTATTTTTTTTTTTTGAGAAAGTGCATATGAAGTTGGACTATGGTCTTTTCTCACTTAAATTATTACACGAGCTATCTACTCAATACTTACTTTTTTTTTACTACCTAGCTACATCAATGGTTTTGTGCTTTTTGCCTATTTCTTTTATAATTTATTTTTGGATTAAGTAATAAGAATGATATAATTTTTAATCTTATTTCAATTATAGGATTTTGATTTATTATACGGATTAAACACTACTTGTAAATAGGGGAGAAAGAGGTAAGAGATTTCCCACATTCAAGCACTCTCGGTAAATTTAAGTCATAAATCTTTAGAATTTAAAGTAAGAGTCATACCAAGTAAACAACTAAAAGTATGATATTGTATGGGGAAGATAAGTGAACAGTGAGATCTTGGTGAGAGTGAGGGATAACTCAAGTGGTTAGAGCTTCTCTCTCGGTTCCAAGAGATCTTAGGATCGATTCTCATCACTTTGCCCTTGTGGCTCTCTAAACATCAAAAAAAAAAAAAAAAAGATGTGAGATCTTGGTATACGATTATGTTATTGCGTAGCTCTTATTAGTTATTATGAATACAGGAACACATATACTTTTTTTTTTTTTTTAAATGATCATATGTTCCACTAATTAATCATGTATACTTGTACGATATACACTTCTATTACGCATTATAATGATCTAAACAAAAAGTGATATTTACTAAGGTTTTGGACCTTATAAGTTATAATTAACCCTAATGCTTTAAATTGGCTCTTTTGACTTCTGTATATATCTTCACGTAGCTAGATTACTATTGAAGATCTGCATTATTTTTATATAAATATAGAAATTTGCATGGTTTCTTGTTCCTCAAAACCCCAACTTAACGTAAAGGTGAGAAAAGCTCTATAATTAGTTGTTGCTTTTCCCTACCAAAAGAATACGCTTCTGCTCATTTCATGATACATAGTAGGGAAAAGTTATTTCAATAAATAAAGTATTAAAAAAGGGCACAGTATTATAGCTTAAATATCAAGTTTATTATTATGAGTCTTATGACTAGCAATAATTTATGTCTTTGACTAAATTATGTCTACATGAATTACATCATCTCCATATCTTTATTTCATACCCCACCCCCTCAAAAAATGAACTAAAAGCTCTATTGACTATTTGACTAGGTAATTCAATTCATGTTAGACAATGTTATCAACAAATTCAATTTAATTCCAATGTTCTTCATTCAATGCAATCGGAAAAAAAGAAAATTAAATCAAGTATCTTGAAAAAATTCAAACCTTTATTTATTTATTTTTATTTTTTTTACCATTCAGTCATAAATTAGCTTGAAATTGAAAGCATTTGAAGTTTTTTTTTTTTTTTCCTAGAAAAATAAAGTCCTAGAGGTACAAAGATCTACAATTGGGAAAGCAAAAACCAATTTGTTGATCCTCATGAAAAATGGTTAGTTTGTTAACTTTAATAGTTACAGGTGGCCAAATATCTATATGAAATTTGTTACACGTAATTTTTAAGATGTAATTAAATTGGATTTTCCACTACTTAATACTTTTTTCATTCAAATTTATTTGGTAGATATTATTTAGAAGTACAACCACAAATTCTAAAGGCATAATACTCCATATAAATTTTTCTTGTTTAATAAAAAGAAATACTCCGTATTATAACAAAAATATCATCCAACTAGATTGACCATCATTTAAGAGTTTGAAATTAAGGAAATTTGAAATTGGTTCAAGATGTCTTATTGTTAATTCAATCATAAAAGATAAATTACGTCATATTAAATTTGACAAAATACAGTGAACTAAACAATTAAACCAAATTTGTAAACGCTAATTAAACCAAATTTGTAAATGTTAATTAATTCATTTTATAAATTTTTTAATGACTATCAATCTATCACCAATCCAACTACGAAAAATATGAATTGGACATCACCTAGCACGATCAAGACATCCATCACCAAACACTCACCAATTTACTTTTATCGACCTTTTCCAACATAAAACTATAAAACAAAATTTACCACAAGTTCAGTTTCTTATCATAGTTACTACCATCACCATCCATCGGGAAAGTGATAGTAGTAGAAAATAGAAATGCACAAAAATCATAAACCCCAAAATTTGCTCTCACACCAAAAATTGATGCCAATCAAATCAGTCAAACAAAACACCCAACGTTAAATCCAAAGATTAAATCTTTTCCTCACATTACAAAATCCACTACCAACGCCATTTTTTTCGTAGGCCCCATTTCTAGTCCTCTCCTTTGACCAAACCCATTAATTTTTTATTTTCATTCTAAAAAAAAAAACATTTTTTTTTTTTATATTTTATATTTTTAAAAATTAAAAAAATAAAATAAAAATCCCCAATCACATTCTCCAACACCACAACAATGGCATTGGCTATCCCTTCTTTACCACCCCTCAGTAAATGTCACACGTGTGGGGGTCCCCAACAGTCAGAATATAAACCCCCTTTCCTTTCTTCCACTTCGTTTCATTTTTACCCAACTCATTTTCCTCTTTTCTTCTCCATTTTCATTCCACTAAATTTTCCATTTCCAATTCCTTTTCCCTCATGAGAGAGAAAAGAATTCCGGCCATGATTCCTCTTGAGCCGTTAGACGCGGCCGGAATCCAAATCCCTTACCATTTCCGATGCCCCATTTCTCTCGAATTAATGCAAGACCCTGTTACCGTCTGTACCGGTCAAACCTACGACCGCTCAAGCATCGAAGCCTGGGTTGCCACCGGTAATACCACGTGTCCGGTCACCCGTGTCCCACTTTCCGACTTCTCTTTAATTCCAAATCACACCCTTCGTCGTCTTATCCAAGAATGGTGCGTTTCGAATCGCTCATTTGGCGTCGAGCGAATTCCGACTCCTAAACAACCGGCTGACCCGTCGCTAATCCGGTCTTTGTTAAACCAAGCTTCTTCCGGGTCAAACCCGGTTCACAATCGGGTTACCGCTTTGCGTCGGCTTAGAGGATTCGCTCGTGACTCGGAGAAGAATCGGTCGTTAATTGCTGCTCTTAACGCGAAAGATGTGCTAGTTTCTGTTTTGTTTAACTCGGATGAATCATCGGATTCGTCCGAGTTAAAGCACGAGTCGTTAGCTCTCCTCGCTATTTTCCCTCCATCGGATATTGTTTGCACTTCGATTGCTTCCGACCCTGACCGAGTCGGGTACTTGGTAAGCTTGCTGTTTCACCCGTCGTCAATCGACGTCCGAGTCAACTCGGCCGCGTTGATCGAGTCGGTAATTGCCGGAACTAAGTCAACAGATCTCAGATCATTTATTTGCACCTCTGATGAAATTTATGTTGGGGTAATCTCGATTCTTACAAACCCAATTCCTTCCCCACGCGCCCTAAAAATTGGTGTCAAAACGCTCTTCGCGCTGTGTTTAAGTAAGCAGCACCGCCATAAAGCAGTGTCTGCTGGCGCGGTGAACGCGCTCATCACGCGCCTCACAGAGCTCGATAAATGCGACTGTGAGCGCGCGCTTGCCACCGTGGAACTCCTCTGTAGGATCCCACAGGGGTGTGCCGCGTTTGGGGCACACGCGCTTACGGTCCCGCTATTGGTGAAAACTATACTTAAGATATCTGATAGGGCGACGGAGTACGCTGCTGGCGCGTTGTTGGCACTCGCTTCCACGTCAGAGAGGTTGCAAAGGGAGGCGGTCAACGCTGGAGTTTTGACTCAGCTTTTGTTGTTGGTGCAAAGCGATTGTACTGAACGCGCTAAAAGAAAGGCTCAAATGTTGTTGAAATTACTTCGTGATTCTTGGCCAGAGGATAGTATGGGAAATTACTCGGATGATTTTAATTGCAGCGACGTCGTTCCGTTTTGAAATTGAGATTTTTTTTTTTGAGGGAGGATTTTTATTTATTGGATTATTATTTTTGATTAGGTGTATTTTTAAATTATTGGATTGATGGTGGATAGAAAAAAAAAATTGGGAGAGAATTGGGTAGATTTTAGATGGATGTAGGGGATGGTACAGATGTGGTTATTAGTTTTTTTTTTTTGGTGTATGTAATTTTATTTTTTCACGTCTTAGAAAAAAAAATTGTATCTATATTGTATTTTTGCTTATTAAAAGTGTCCCAGGTAACCTTAATCAAAAGAATTTGAAAGAATTATCTACAAAGTACAGTATATCCGTGTTCTTATTGATTTTGTGTGTGTGTTTTTTTTTTTTGCAAGTTTATGAATTATTTCAAGTTTTAACGAGTGGATGTCCACAACTTTGGATAGAGCTATAAAGGAGGCAAATTGATCGTTAGGTTTGAGTCAATTCAGGCTGGGGCCCTTTTTGGTGTTGATTGCTAAATTGCTTTGTTTGGAAAAATAGAGCAATTTTTCTCAATTTTGGTCAAATTCAGGTCACCAACTTTGGGTATGTTGTTCGAATACCCAAATCTAATACGGAGTAGTGATGAATTGATGACAAGCAAAATTGATGAATTACTTACTAGCAAAATTCAATTAAAAATGGGGAATATGTTTTGGGTTGCCCAAAATTAACGTGCTTATGCTTATCTTCTAGAGTAAAAAACTGGGCCCAATATTTCCAAAAGCCCAAATTCATTTTTTTTTTGAGGAAAAGCCCAATTTCATTTTATACTCTGTATTGTTAATTTTTGAATTTGGTCAAATATAACAAGTAAAAAATATCATTGATCTAAAACAAAATGCTTAAATACATTGGACATCATTCTTAGTTTCTTACAACTTTGTTGAGAAAATGAATTGAAGTCTAACAAGTAAATAAAATTACACTGGTACAGAGTACGCATCTAGAGCCGCACATTTTAAAGATATCAAGACATGAGAATATTCCGAAACACGGATTGTTAGGAGCACAGGATAGCCGTCTTCACTCTTCACTATCCTTGCGAGGGAGCTTGCCAGGCTGCTGCATAAGTTATATCGTGATAAGTGCATCAATATTTGTAATTGAGCTAGCTGATTTACTACTGATAATTGTATTACAAGAGTAATTTTAGTAGACAAAAGTTCTGTATAGTAAAATCTGTTATGTACTACATGGCATATCAACGTAATTAAGTAATCAAGCATCAGCTACTTACCTGATCAGAAGTTTTATAGGATTCTGCAAGAAGCTCTATGAGGCCCTCATTCTCATTGTTTATAAGTGCTAATTCCGGCCTTTCTTCTGTTTCGAAACATCTTAATTTTAACAGTTCTGCTGCAATAGAGTTTCCAGTCTTTAAGGCATAGTGCAAAGGCGTATTGCCATCACAATCTTGTACTGTTCTTTGGGCGTCTACTTCTGGATATTTAAACAGTTGGTCACTAAAAAATTTGAAAAGACCCGCATCACTTAAAGCAGACTCAGGAAACTCTTTATGAAAGCGCAAGAGATGTAGAAAGGTTCTGCCACTTGGATCGCAGAGTTGTGCTGATTGAGGACAGTGTTCCAGTATAAACTGAGCAGCCTTGATCCTACCAGACTCTGCAGCCCTTAATAGAGGTGTGAGACCCTTGTTGTCGCGCATATATACTGTAGAAATGCTCTCCGGGATCAGATTTTCCGTGAAATTCACCATATCCTGAACTGCAGACAAACACATCAAATCAAATAACAAGCAATACAAAGTAGGGTGACAAAATTTCCAACGCATATTTTAGTGCTGTCAAGGCAATATTTGCTTAGCCAATAAATTTGGTCTTGGAAGCATTGAATTTTCCCTTAGAAATAGATAAAAAAAGAAACTAGCTAAAGTAAGAGTCTGAGACTGACTTGAGCATTTGCTACACCTAGCAAACGTATGAAGAGGGGTCTCTCCGGCATCATTAACATATGAACCTCCCTCAGGATCTTGACAGATCAATAATATAGCAGCATACATATTGTTGGTACACAATGCTTCATGTATAGGCATATTACCCTTGGAATTTTTAATCTTCCAAGGAGGAATATAAACACTCTGACTGTTCTCTTTTATAGCATTTTGATGATACTTTGGTAGGTTTTCCAATAATTTTACCGAAGCAGGGCTATGCCACTTTGCTGCTAGATGAAATGGTGTATCCCCATTGTTGTCAGTTTTATAGATGAGAGTTGGGATGCGGGTTAAAGCTTCCTCAACAAATGCTGATGTATCGTCTTTCCCTGGTCTGAGAGCTATATGAACTATATTGCTTCCATCGGGTGTTTGAGTGAGGAAATAGGACTTATCCTCAATGTTGTTGAACAGCGTCACATCCCCCTGCATTGCAGCTATGTATAGCTCTCTGTCCATAAATTTTTTCGCAAGGATTATTTCTTTTAAATGCTTCTGGTTTAAAATTGACATCTCTTCTATGTCCTGCGTATACAAAATCAGATTAGATCAGAACTGACCAGACCAGACCATAAAGGAAAAAAATCAGACTAGAACAAGATCACACCAATCTAAAATCAGGAGATTTTTGATTGCTTATATGTCTAAAACAGATTTTTTTAAAAGAGAGACATACACTTGGTTGTGATGCAAGTAATTCGAAAATTGAGCAACCATCATTGTTGGTGATTGTTAGTTCCGCCCTTTCTTCAGATTGAAGACATCTTTGCATCAAGAGTTTTGCAGCCAACAAGTTGCCAGTTATAATAGCGAAATGCAAGGGTGTATTTCCATCTTCATCTTGAGCAGTTCTCAGGCTATCGATTGCAGGAAAGGTTTCAAAGAAATTTTCACACAGATAAGATGGGTCCTCAGAGCCATCAACAAGCTCAAGATGCTTAATGTTGAGGTAATGTAGAAAATTTCTTCCCTTGAAATCGCGAATTTCCATTGATTGAGGGAAGGCTTGAAGTATATATAGAGCAACTCGAATTCGGCCAGACTGAGCTGCTCTCATAATTGGGGTGAAACCATCCACATCCTTTGTATAGGCAGGAGAAGTACGCCACATCAGCCTACAGACGAATATATCTAGTTTATCTTCAACTGCACCATGTTTGTGGAATTTATGTTAGTAACATATTTTTTTAAGTAGTCAAATTAAGTTTGTCTAACAAGATCTCACACAATGACAGTAATTACCTGTCAGAACTTTGAACTTTGGCTCAGAAAAGTCTTATGTAACACTTAATATTGGATGCAGGGAAACGGTTTTTGAAAAAATGAGTATATTTAGTGTTAAAATTGTAACAAGGAATTTACCAGTATATGTAGCATATCTTGCATATATATGTAGTGGTGTTTCTCCAGCATCATTTGTCATTTCAGAGAGGGCAGGACATATTTTGGACAACACTTCAGCAACATTATGATTGCTAACACGCACTGCTTTATGCATAGCAGTATCGCCTTTGGAATTTTTGGTTACCCATGGTGGCAGGAGACTAACAACACCCTCCAATTTTATTTCCTTAAGTTTGCGACAGCACTCATCAAAACAACGAACCATGTCTACAGCTGCAGGGTTCTTGAGCCGAGCAGCAATATGGATAACGGTATCGCCATTGAAGTCTCTTGAGAGAACAAGAGTGGGAAAATGCTTGAGAGTTTCCTTGATAAATGCAGAATGACCATTTTGGGTGGCTAGATGAAGGATGGTGCTTCCATTTGGTGTTCGAGACACAAAGTAGCCTTTATTATACTTAATTTCGGTACCATCTACATCGTTTGTTCCAGTTGTATCCTTTCTATCGAAGATTGTCACATCTCCTGTCCCTGCAGCTGCTTCATACAACTCCTTATCCATCCATTTGTCAGTAAAGGAGTTAAATATAGTTCCCTCCTGCATTTGAAAACAAAGTTTCCGATCAATTATAAGTTAAATGATGAAAATTTTGTTTTATGAGTGACAAAATTAATCAATTTTTAAACAGAACAACAATAGCAAAAGAATTTTTCATGTACTAATTGATTGAGGGATTTTGTTCCCACCAATCGGAATGCGCCACGTGGGCCAATCAGGTCCTGCCAAGTGTCCCCCAGTTGGACCTCTCACGGCTTGCCACGTGGCACGCGCTTATTCGTCCACCTTGGACCTATTATGCCATGACATATGGCATGCTCCATGCCTACTGGAGAATCCGACCACCTTGGCCCAATTTCCGAGGGAAGCCCAATCGGCCCAAGGTTAACCTAAACCTAGATTGGCACGTTTCCCGAGGCTATAAATACCTCTCTTAATCCTCATTAAGAGGGGGGGAGAACAGGAAAACAGAGATTACTCACATTAAACACTCTCACCTAGAGAGACCCAATCACTTTAATTTCCGCATTAATTACTCCTTAATCAAGTACTAACTTGACCGTCAGAGGCGGAGCTCCCACCACAAGGAGTCTCCGTTTGTTTTGCAGGTACAGGCGTCCAGCTCCAGTCTCGGAATTGTAACTCTCCCGCAGGACATCAGAAAACCCCGAAACATTTTGGCGCCGTCTGTGGGGAGAGTACTTCTTAGATGGCATCCACGTTTGTACCGACTCCTGAAGAGAGGCGTCCCCTAGACGACCCTCAAGTTCAGTCGGACCACGACTCTGAGAATGAATTTGAAGTTGAAACTCACACAGCTTCAGACGGGACCCTAAGGGACCGACGAACCCGTCCTACCGAAAGGAGGGAGCGGGAACACTTTCAAGCAGAGCCAGCAGGCGCACCGCCTGGTCGGCAGCAGCCGACTGATGGATCTGCTCCCATTACAAGAAACGACCTCATGGCCTTCATGAAGGACTTCAAGGGAGAAATTCAAGAATTAATCACTAAGAAGTCGCCTGCTCGGGACAAAGAGCAGTCGGCTAAAAAGCTTTCCCCTCACGGAAGAGGAAGCCAGTTCAGGGGCGAGAGGCGACCCCTCATCCTAAATCTAAGAAGTGGGAGCCATCTGCCCTTAATCTCACAAAATACCATTTTCCTACTCCAGGAAATAGGAAACTTGTTCGTCATGTTCAGGCGGACGGGTCGAAGAAAACATACACAGACGCTCGGCTACTGCTAGAGCAGAAGAAGAGTGACCGACTGTCAGAGTCGGCCTCTACTTCAAATTTCCAAGATAGTCTGCGAAATACCTCGATGAGGCATACTCAGTCGTACCATGAGAGTCAGACAGGCGGCACCTCCCGTCAGTCCGGCTTTCATAGCGACCAGGCGGTACCACACATACCGTTTGTACCGCAACAACAGTATTTCTTGCAGCCACCTCCGTTTGGTGGACCTGCAGCAAAAAATGTCCAACCTATGGACTGGCAGCTACGGTTGCTTAGACTTGGTGAACAGCCGTCGGCCTTCTCCAAGGAAATTACTGAGGCCGCTCAGCCGGCCAAGGTAAAAAATGTATTAGTAGGCGCCTATGATGGCACTACTAATCCAGAAGACCATCTGATGGCGTTCACCAACCTGATGTACCTTCAAGGGTTGGATGATCCCACTTGGTGCAAGTGTTTCCCAGCGACTCTCAAAGGAATCGCACAACAATGGTTCGGCAACCTGCCGACTGGTTGTGTAAATAATTTCAAGACGCTTGCTTACTTGTTCACCTCCAATTTCGCCATGAACATCCCTGCAAAGAAGACGACCCTTGACTTAGGGACAATTCAGCAGGGAGAGAAGGAGGGACTTCGTTCTTACATCAGGCGGTTTAACCTGATGAGAATACAGATTCAGGGGTTACCAGATGAAGTAGCCTATACTGACTTTTTCAGAGGTCTCAAAGACGGGTCGACCTTCAAATTCGATTTGGTTCGAAAGAGGGTGACGACTCTTCAAGAGGCCTTGATTGAAGCAGAAGCCTATATACAGGCGACGGATCTTTGCAGTACAAAACAGTCGGACTGGAAAAGGTCTGACAAAAGAGAGGGACGACAGAAGCAGTCGTCCAACAAAGACGAGAAAAGAAAAGAGGTCTGGGTGGCTGACTCCTCTAAACAACCGTCCCAGAAGAAGAAAAAAGAATTCAAACCATACTCCCCAAAGTATGCGTTTAACAAGGACAGCCAAGCTATCCTAAAGGAAATCAAGGGACGGATCTCAATTGAGAAGCCGGTCCCCATGAAAGGTTCAGCAAGCAACAGGAACCAAGAAAAATTCTGTGATTATCATGAAGATGTTGGTCATCACACCAAAGAATGCATCAGTCTCATGCGGTATCTGGACCGCCTGGCCGAGCAAGGTGATCTTGACTCTTATGTCAAGAAATCCACGGGGAACACTTCCTCGAAAAAGCAGTCTGCCAAAAAGAATCAACAGGCCGACAGTTCTGATACGGATGATGCAGTCGTCTACACCATTCTTCTCAGGAGGCGGCCCCACTATTAGGGGCAACAAAGACAATATCAGGCGGTTGGATATAAATTCCGTTCACCAAGAACGGCCCTCCAAATATTCCTTTCCTGAGATTGTCATCACCGAAGAGGATCTAGGAGGGGTAAGAGGGCCGCATGACGACCCTATCGTCATTGAATGTAAAGTAGCCAACCAAAGAGTTGGCCGGATTCTCATAGATACCGGAAGCTCCTCAGATCTCATCAGTAGCAAATGTCTGTCAAAGCTCAAATATCAGACTGATTGCATACACCCGGTATCCCACCCTCTAGTAGGGTTTGGAGGGGGAGTCGTCCACCCAGTGGGACGAGTAGATTTGCCCATCCGCCTGGGTGAGAAAGGGGAAGGACGACACATGGTAGTCCGGTTCCTGGTAGTAGACGAGCTCTCGGCCTACAACATGATTCTGGGACGACCAACCCTGAATAATTCCAAGGCTGTTATAATCCCATCTCTTATGCTGCTCAAGTTTGAGAGGGATAATGGAACAGTCGGTTCCCTAAAGGGAGATCAGAAGATGGCCCGAGAGTGCTATCTCTCGGATGTCAAGCCCACTGTTACGGCCGCTGGGTCAAGTGGTGGAAAAACAGACCTTGACAATGTCAAGGAGAGTGCGCCTGTTCAAAAAGCAGGCGGTAAGAAGAGAAAGGCATCCCAGCCGGAGGTTGCAAGAAAAGACAAGAAATAGCAATCATTGGCAGAGGAGCGGTCGGATGAATTCCGCCCTCAGCCGGCTGGTGAGCATACGGACCTGATCTTAGATGACTTCCGTCCTGACCGAACTGTCAAAGTTGGGACGGCTGCTCTAAGAGACTTGGGTGACGACTTTCAAAAACTATTGAAAGAATACCAGGACATCTTCGCATTCGAAGTCCATGAAATGCCAGGCATAAGTCCTGATCTGGCGATACATAAACTGGCCTTGGATCCGAAAAAGAAGCCGGTACGGCAGAAAAAGAGGAACCATGGCGAAGAAAGAAGTCAGGCGGCAGCCGCCGAAGTCAAAAAACTACTTGATGCAGGGTTCATTCGACAATGTTACTTCCCAGACTGGGTTGCTAATGTGGTGCTTGTTAAAAAGCCGAATGGCACCTGGCGAATGTGTGTAGACTACACAGACTTAAACAAAGCATGCCCCAAAGACAGTTACCCTCTACCTAAAATTGATAACCTGGTCGACTCAACAGCCGGCCATACTTTGATGAGCTTTATGGACGCCTACTCTGGCTTCCATCAAATTCCTTTATGGAAGAAAGATCAGGAGAAGACGGCCTTCGTCACTGATCAGGGGTTATACTGTTACACGGTCATGCCGTTTGGTCTGAAAAATGCCCCGCCCACCTTCCAGCGAATGATAAACACTGTGTTCTTTGATCAAATTGGGAGAAACGTCGAGGCATACATTGATGATATGATTGTCAAGACTAAACTACAGAAAGATCATCTGTCGGACCTCCGAGAAACTTTCGCCACACTCAGGCGGCACCATGTCATGCTCAATCCCAAGAAATGTGTCTTTGGAGTTGAGTCTGGGAAATTTCTCGGATTCCTTATCAATCAGAGAGGAATAGAGGCGAACCCTGAGAAGGTACAGGCGGTCATCAACATGCAGTCGCCTCGTACCGTCCGAGAGGTTCAGAAGTTAACAGGTTGTCTGGCGGCCTTGGGAAGGTTTCTAAGCCGATCAGGCGATAAATGCCTATACTTTTTCCAGGCAATTAAGAAAAAGGCAAGGTTTGAATGGGGGCCAGATGCTGAGGCGGCCTTCCAGAAATTGAAAGTTCACTTGCATTCCTTGCCGAGGCTGGTTAGCCCTTTGCCCAAAGAAGTACTCTACATGTACCTGCCGTCTCTGATCATGCACTAAGCGCTGTACTTCTTGCTGAAAGAGACGGCTGTCAACTCCCGGTCTACTTTGTCAGTCATGTATTGAAGAATGCGGAGTTGAGGTATCCCTTAGTAGAGAAATTTGGTCTTGCACTCTTCATGGCTGTTAAGAAATTAAAGCCATACTTTTTGGCACATGCAGTCGTCGTGTATACAGACCAACCTATCAAGCGGCCCCTGACCGTCATGGAGTCGTCAGGCCGAATGATCAAATGGGCCATAAAAATACAAAGCCTCGAAGTTACCTTCGAGCCTAGAAAAGCAGTGAAGGGTCAAGCCTTTGCTGACTTTATTGTTGAGATGACTCGTCCACCTGACTCTCAAACTCCGGACCAAGTCTGGAAGGTTTATGTGGATGGGAGCTCCACTTCAAATGGTTGTGGAGCAGGCGTCATATGTCAGTCGCCAGAAGGCGACAGGTACGAGTATGCTCTACGCTTCAGTTTTCAGGCCTCAAACAATGAGGCAGAATATGAAGCTTTACTAGCCGGTATCCGCATGTGCAAGGCGGCAGGGGCAAGGAAAATAGACGCCTGTTCCGATTCACAACTGATAGTGAGTCAGTACAATGGCGAATATGAA